GGGTTCATGGGTTCATGGGTTCATGGGTTCATGGGTTTGGGGTTTGTTTGTTTTTGTGTCGGAGGTTTTGGGTTCGGGTGTTGGAGGTTTTGGGTTTGGGTGTTGGAGGTTTTGGGTTTGGGTGTTGGAGGTTGAGGTTTCCGAAGGGATGTGTTTGCAAAGTTTTATTGCTCTTAATATTTACAGAGAAGAAGAACAGCACGCAGAGGAGCGTGAATATAATGAGGCGTCGCCTCTACAGCAAATGCTCAGTTCTTTGTTTCTCTGAATACTGATTTTTGCCCCAACAACAAATCACCTTCACCTCCTCCTCCGCAGGAAATTCGTCCATGTCGGCGCAGGTTGCCAGCCCGATTTATCCGATCTGTTTAACGATCAGTTTAACACTTGGGGCCGCTTAGTCGAGGACGGAAAAGAGTTTGATTCCGATGAACTCCATGAGCTAGAATTGAAGGGTAAACCACCACCAGGCACTGTGGAAGGAAAAGTATCGGCAGCGGCCCATTCCCCAGCAAAACTTCCACCAATGGACTCGCTGTGAGGCAGTTCGAGTTGGTTAAGTACGTTTCTCTGCTGAATAGTAAGTAGCTGGTTTGCTGAATCTTCCTGGTTCAGTATCTCGCTTATTTTCAGTAGTTACTCGCTTATTTCAGTTTTTCGAATAGCTGGCTTCGCCCTTGTCTTTTGCTTCTTCATCTTCTCCTAAATCTATGGCTGCCTTAGTCTTTTTTGGTTACAGTGTTACTCGTTACGCATTCACAAATTTATCTTCTAATCTTAACAATATATATATAAGCGAAGTCCCTTATCACTGCTCACAAGAATGAAATAATACCTATGTATAGCTCCAATTAATAGGAAGCAGTAAGCTCCATTGAACAGTTTTGGCTTTTCTGGCGCACGCACAGTCGTGCAACCGTTTTCGTGTTTGAGTTTGACTGAATACTTCTGCTTAGGCATGATCGCCTGCCTATCGTGAATTTTGAATAGATCGAAGTCTCCCACGGGCTTCGCACAACTAAATGACTTTCGCATGCTGTGGTCTCATGATACAGAAAGAGTTTCTTGAAATTAACTAACTAGCACGAAATCTAGTGATACGCATCCCCTCCAATGTGGCAGTAGTTGGAACGGGTACTTACTTATAGATACCATAGTTACTTATATATTTTATCAGTTTTGCTCTTTCAAATCAGAAGCGGAACGGCTTCCGCTTAGCGCTGTGCTTCCCTGTATCGCCATGTTGTAGATGAAATTGAAATTAATTGTGCAGAAAATCAAGTTACAAGAACCATGATTGAACTTACTTACAACTCAAATAAGACACATCAAATCCCTTTTCGACTTCCCGATACGTAGGTGTTTTAGTTGGTGCATAAGCATAGAAAGATATGAAGATATTCCGAATTTCATTTTCGCCAGGCTGTCGCACTTAGCGTTCTAGCTGGAGTGGATCCCCTTGAATCTTGAATCTTGAAGGTCTTAAATAAGATCAAAATTGGATCAACAATGATCAACACGGAAGCAAACTAAAAGATCTTGAAGATGATCCTTGATGAACTCGCTCCGTACGATTGATTTTCCCAGGATCTCCGGCTTCGTCGATCTGAGAAGAAATCGACCTTTCTGGCATCTAAGTAAGCAAAGGCGATGCAAAAGATGCGTCGGGAGGTCGAGGCTCAACATGAAGATCCTACTTTTTAGGTAACCCTAATTGACTATCGATCTCTTTTTCTGTTGACTTTTTCCCATCAGGAGTTGATGTTGAAGTGAATGTTCGACGATTGATTCAAGATCTTTATATATTCGACCATCAACAGTGCTTAATCGCGTTTCTACATTCATCGTAGACTAAAACACTAGAAAATGTTGTCCTTAGTTGGCTTAGGGCTTGGCAGCCCCGATGACGTGACAGTCCGTGGTCGTGAGGTGATCCGTCGCGCCGACGTCCTATATCTTGACGCCTATACAGCGATTTGTCCTGGTTGCGAAGGAACCGGAGAATATGCGTGAGCTATTCGGAAAGCCTATCCGACTTGCCGATCGTTCATTGGTCGAGTCAGCTGCCGAGATGTTGCGCTGTGTCGAGAAAGACGGACAGCGAGTCGCGTTTCTGGTTGTCGGTGACCCACTCTGTGCGACGACACATACCGACCTTATCTTAAGGTGCAGGGAGAAGAAGATTCCAACCGAAGTCGTCCACAATGCCAGCATCATGAACGCGGTCTCATCCTGTGGTCTTCAGCTCTACAGATTTGGGGAAACGGTACTTGAAAATTAAGACAAACTTTTTGTTGGTAAGTCATCAATATGAAACTCACTCGAACAACAGGTATCCCTCCCCTTCTGTACTTGCAGATTAAAACGAACTCTTCGTTGATAAGCTAACTCGACGCAGTATGAGTGTATATGTACTTCGAGTAGTACCAACATTTTTCCATTAACATGGCATTGCATCATCAATATGATACTCCAACAATTTGATACTCCAAAAACAGTTTGCACCTCACTCCAACAACAGGTATCCCTCCCCTTCTGGACCGCTCGATGGAAGCCGGAGTCTTTCTTTGATAAGATCGAGGACAACCGCAAGCGAGGTTGCCATACATTGTGTCTCCTAGACATCCAAGTAAAGGAACGATCAGAGGAGAACATGGTAAAAGGCCGTATGGACATCTTCGAGCCTCCACGCTATATGTCCATTCCTCAGGCACTTTCGCAATTGTCACAAATAGTAGATAGGAGACAAGAGGAAGTGGAAGCCGCATCTTCTAAGGAAACCGATGAACAAGTGACCACTAGTAAGGATAAAGAGGATCCACCCACTCCAAGTACGACATCTACAACCTCGGAAGGAGAAGCAGAAGCAGAGAACGAAACTACAACTGCAACATCAACCCAAAAGCATTGGCTTCAGCAAGAAAAGAATATTGTTGGTATCGCGCGCCTTGGTGCTAGTGATGAATGCATTCGTTGCGGCACGGTGGAAGAACTAATCAATGCTGAATTCGGTCCGCCTTTACACGCTTTAGTGATTCCTGCTGACGACCTTCACGAGTGCGAACAGGATTACATTGATTTTTACAGGGGACAAGTCGAGAATTAGACTAGGGTCGCTATCGATCATTCGAGCAACATTGCAACCCGCTAAATCCTTTTATTCGACCAATTACACCCAAAGTGATTAAGCATTCGTGCGATAACATTGTTGATCCAAGCAAGTTAAGTACATCCAAAAGGATCTTTCATGTGGAACGGGTTCCACAGAAGGCATTTGCAGACAGGTGTTCTATATGAGACGACTTGTTTTAGTAAAAGGGAACGGGAAGTAGTTTCTGGCAGTTGCGAAGATCGCGATCGGTTCGACTAAGTCTAAAGAGAACTAGGAAAAAGCAAGTAGTATGTTAACTGGGCAGATAAAAGAATGGTACTCGTCAGCATTCTTTCATTGTCGTTTCCACAGAAAACATCGGGTTCACAAACATCGAACTACATCGGATTCGCAAGTGCGCCTTCCCCTGCCCGTTCCCCATAATCGCAAATAGGTGAGAGCCGTCTGGACGATTATAGAAATTCTAGAAGATGAGCTGCTCATCAAAATTGATTTCTTATTCATTGCTAGATCGAGGCGCTCTTAGAACTGTATCGCAGTCGAAGTTGTCGCCTTGTCAGAAAGTTGGGCTTTGGCATGAATATTTTGAGACACCATCTGCTATTCCTACATCTTCTACAAATCAAAAGTAAATGTGGCACACGTGCTAGTAAATGGTCTAATGGTAGTAACAATCAGTGCATGAAGAAGAGGATTCAAGAGTGAGAACGCACGACCCGCATCTGAGGTGGTTTTTAACTACTCAAGAGCACCATAGAGAAAAATCTTCATCTTGACTATTATACTAACTACTACGTATATATGGGCACTGAGTAACCCGAAGATAGAGTGGGGTTTTGAATTTTACATATAGACAAAGTAGAAAGACACGTGGTCGTCTCGACTAAGAAGATCAACAAGATGTACGCCACGAACACCAAGGAGTCCAACGTTTCCGCAAAGGAGATCATCGACGAGGAGCAAGACAGGATCAACATCATTGAGGGAGATGTTGAGCAAGGATATGGTGCTGCGGAAACAGGAGATGCCGAAACCACCAAGAAGGTTTTCTTGTTTTCTGCCGACAAAGCCGACGCTGGTTTGCAGGCTCCACCCCCGGAGCAGGGAATGAGCACCGGCTGCATGGTTTAAGGCTTCCTTTAATTCATCTTGAGAAGCATCTTGGAGCCTTTTCCTAAGGGGAAAGCACTCCAAAGATGAATTAAGGTAAACTCTAAATGTGGTGTTTGATCGTATGTGTTGTTGTGCCGCTCGTTATTCTTTTCCTCGGGTGTATCTGTTTCTATTGGCTGTGCCAGCATGTGCAGTCGACGATGGACATCGCCAAACCGGCCGCTGAAAGTGGAGCAGCTTCCAGCGCCTTCCTCCAAGAAGTGGATCACGCTAGTACACCTTCCACTTCCTCCGGAAGTGCTCTGCTTGAGGCGCTCGACCAGGAAAAAAGGATCGAGAAGAAGAAAACCGCGTAAGTAAAAAAACTACTCATCATCCAGACGAAGTAGTAGTCTTCTTCTAGCACCATGAGGAGGACTCTGAAGAGTCTAACACGACCAGCAGGTACAGGAGGCACATATCTAAGAGAAGAAGGTGCAACAGGAGGCACACATCTAAGAAGGTACAGAAGAAGAAGGTGCAACAGGAGACACACATCTAAGAAGGTGCAGGAGGCACCCACGCTAAGAAGGGGCTGGAAGAGTGGGAAGAATTATATGTAGGGCTAGTTCATGATTCATGATTAAATCTATGTCATTCTTTGCTTTCACATAGGCGCGATTCGTTCTTAAACAGCATCGACATTCACGAAAGTCACTCAAACTTCAAGAGCCTGATCGTATTTCTCCGTCATATACGTATTGTTGCATCTACATTCTTACACTAACAAAGAAAAAATTGGGACGACGCTAAAGCAACAGGGTCCTGATGATGTATATCCAAGATTACCAACGCAGACGCAGCTGCTTGAACAGATACTATCACTAAGTTTTATCTCATTTGACATACTTTGTTTGGTTATAATACTGCATATTCCTCGTTCATCTGTCAAAAAGAATGCATCAGTATAAGAATACAACATCAATACCAATACATACTGAACCACAATTAACGTCGAAAATATGATCTACAACTGCCTTCTACATAATCTCCGTCTTGCCTCTCTCTTCCTCAGGTGTCCTGCTCCTCCTTCGGAGGTATGACGCCATGCCGCACCCGTTTTGCAATACTGGAATACCAAAAACAAACGAGTACGAGTGACTGCGCATGGCGTTCAACAGATAAGACGAAGGGTGACAGAGAAAAACAGGAGCAGGACCGCCGACGTTGAGGAGGGTGAGGTTTCTAGTCGCAAAAAGAGAAAATACATCAAGACATATGGGGAAAGTAGAAAGTCTTTCTGTCGAGCAAATATTCTGACTCGTATCGTGTTTTGAATCATTCAATTCCACCATCGTAGTTAAGTGGTATTAAAGAAATTCTTTTTTTCAGTGTCGTCATTGTTTACGAACTTATCACGCATGACATACACGAAAATTTCCCCGGGAATCCATCCAACAAACTTGTACAGAATTCATTGTTAGCCTCTTACTGTGGGAAGCAAATAGGTACGGCGCGACGGCCGGGAGCAATTAATCTAAAAACCTTTTTGTTCGACTCCAAAAACAATCGCGTCTCGATTTCCCTCTTTTTCGGTCTTCTGTTTTCGGTTCTTTGCCGAGGAGTAATCTTGTTGTATAACGGAAAGAAGAGCTTAAAAGGAAAGAAGAGAAAACTAGAAGGAAGGTAAGGAGAAAAAAGGAGCGGATCTCTACTGCGCTAACTACTTGCAAAGCTGACGTTGGAACACCCGAACACGTCCAAGCTGTAGCTCTTGAGAGCCAACGGAATGGATGCCGATGCAGTGGAACAGCAAGACGATCAGAACGGGCGCGCCGAGTGATCCCGGGCCGTCTCAGGCCGTCCGCCTCTTTTCAGGATCTCAGGCTTCGCCGATCTTAGAAGAAGTAGACCCCTCGCGCTGGCATCTAAGGAAGCAAAGGCGATGCAAGAGATCTGTCGGGAGGTCGAGTCTCAACATGAAGATCATTATACTTAGGTAACCCTAATTGCCTATCGATCTGTTTTTCTGTTGACTTTTTCCCATCAGGAGTTGATGTTAAAGTGAATGTTCGACGATTGATTCAAGATCTTTATCTATTCGACCATCAACAGTGCTTAATCGCGTTTCTACATTCATCGTAGACTAAAACACTAGAAGAAAATGTTGTCCTTAGTTGGCTTAGGGCTTGGCAGCCCCGATGACGTGACAGTCCGTGGTCGTGAGGTGATCCGTCGCTCAGACGTCCTATATCTTGACGCCTGTACAGCGCTTTTTCCTGGTTGCGAACAGGAGAATATGCGTGAGCTATTCGGAAAGCCTATCCGACTTGCCGATCGTTCATTGATTGGTCGGGTCAGCAGCCGAGATGTTGCGCTGTGTTAAGAAAGACGGACAGCGAGTCGCGTTTCTGGTTGTCGGTGACCTACTCTGTGCGACGACACATACCGACCTTATCTTAAGGTGCAGGGTGAAGAAGATTCCAACCGAAGTCGTCCACAATGCCAGCATCATGAACGCGGTCTCGTCCTGTGGTCTTCAGCTCTACAGATTTGGGGAAGCGGTACTTGAAAATTAAGACAAACTTTTTGTTGGTAAGTCATCAATATGAAACTCACTCCAACAACAGGCATCGCTTTCCTTCTGTACTTGCAGATTAAAACAAACTTTTCGTTGATAAGCTAACTCGACGTAGTATGCGTGTAGATGTAGTTTGAGTAGTACCAACATTGTTCCATTAACATGGCTTTGCATCATCAATATGATACTCCAACAGTTTGATACTCCACCACCAGTTTGCATCTCACGCCAACAACTGGTATCCACTCCTTCTGGACCGCTTGAGGGAAGCCGGAGTCTTTCTTCGATAAGGTCGAGGACAACCGCAAGCGAGGTTGCCATACATTGTGTCTCCTAAACATCCAAGTAAAGGAACGTTCAGAGGAGAAAATGCTAAAAGGCCGTATGGACATCTTCGAGCCTCCACGCTATATGTCCATTCCTCAGCCACTTTCGCAATTTTCACAAATAGTAGATGGGAGACAAGAGGAAGTGGAAGCCGCATCTTCTAAGGAAACCGATGAAGTGACCACTAGTAAGGATGAGGAGGATCCACCCACTCCAAGTACGACATCTACAACCTCGGAAGGAGAAGCAGAAGCAGAGAACGAAACTACAAGTGCAACATCAACCCAAAAGCATTGGCTTCAGCAAGAAAATAATATTGTTGGTATCGCGCGCCTTTTTGCTAGTGATGAATGCATTCGTTGCGGCACGGTGAAAGAACTAATCAATGCCGAATTCGGTCCGCCTTTACACGCTTTAGTGATTCCTGCTGACGACCTTCACGAGTGCGAACAGGATTACATTGATTTTTACAGGGGACAAGTCGA